AGGTACCCCTAAATAATCTTGAATATATTTCCATAAATCATCTTTCAGAATTTAGTATGTCTCTTAACAGAACCATAATAAATATCTTGTTTTTCAAACAGGCTGTTCATCAGAATTACCTTGTTTTTCAAACATGCTGTTTATCAGAATTACCTGTAGAGCTTTTTAAAAATAGTTTATTCAAGTGCCATTCCTGGAGATTACAATTCAGAAGGTCAGAAGCAGGTATCTATATACTGAAAGTGTCATACTTGATCCGGCTGGGCAGCCAGAATTAAGAAACACTGTTAGAAAACTGGCGGGAGATGGTTCATATCTTCTTTCTTTCATTATAGCCAAGACTGGGCAAGAAAATGGAGATAAGGGTGTGGGAAAGAAAGGAGTAAATTACCTTTGCCGTCTGGTTTTTGAGATGAGAAAATATGGCAGTCCAAAGCTAGGCAAAACGGCAACATAAATAAGGTTGGGTTGCTTTTGTTACTCTTCTATCACTTACGTTCCTACATTTTTCTCCTATCTTTTGGCTTTCCACCTGTTTTCTTGACCTCCAAAGCATGTGAAGGTACTCATGTTGTAATACATCTCTACCTACTTCCTTCATATCACTCAGTCCTGTTGCTTTCTGCTTATTCTTTGCTTTCCTGACAAGCAAAACTCCCAACTTTGTTTGTTTTAGGTATGCCTAAGAAATGCAAGCAGCACTAAAATACTATCAGCTTTTGCCACTTAAGCCTGGCATTGTTTGCCTGATAATCTCAGTGATTCTCAGCTAAGATAGTTTTGATACCAAGGCCTTTCCCAGAATTGACTCTGCCTATAAGTCTGTAGCTGCCAGACACTGTTGTAACAAATCTTCCCAACATTTTTTCTTGCCTAAATCCTGGGGCCAAAAATGTCGTATCAACTCAGTGAACAATGGCAACTTCCACTCTAGAGAAGGAAAGGATCCAAGAGCAATGCTTGAGATCTGTTAATTGAGAGACTTCCATTTCCAGAGTGTAAAAATTTGTAGTTGTTTAGTTAGCTAATTTTCCCAGAAGACCCAAAGATTATTTTATGAATGACTAAGTATTAAATAAACTAAGAGAACCAAGGAGAGATTCTGGGGAAATGACTTATGGGTAAACTGAAATGAGAAAATGGAGGTCTCATTCATTCTAAATCTACTCTTTTCTGCCCACTGAAATTACTATTATCACTGCTTCTGAGGAAGACACAAGAAAAAGAGGATGGTAGAAAAAACAAAGAGAAATAGTAACTATCAAAGGCAAAGAGAAGGAAATGATTTTGAACACTTCTTATCCCATACCTTTGTTTACTGTCTGCAATGCCTTTCCCACTTCTTTGTCTGATTACCACCTGCTGATCTTTTAAGACACAGTGGGTATTGCCACGCTGTACACAACACCTCAATTCCCACCTCTCCATCATAGACTGACCTACATGTTATTCTGCTATAAAACACAGGTGTAATATTCTGTCTTATAGTACTTACTACACTCTTTTGAAACTAATTTTGAAGATTAGAAAGGAGAAACACTGGTGCTATATTTTGTGTTCTCCAAACTCTACATTGACTCATGTGTTCACTGAATTCTGGTTCACTGAGATTTTGAGAAAATATAACTATTTAAGAATGAAAAATTTAAAAATAGCACATGAAATACCTTGAAATCATTAAAAAGAATAAGGCAACATTCTATGTCCTGATATAGAAAGACCACAATATATTAGGTGAAAAAAGTAAGGTAATAAATTGTTTATCTTTTGGTTGCCTAAAACATAAGAATATAAAGTGTGTACACATGTATATACATTTTCTTTTCTGGGAAAAAATGCACAAGAAACCAAAAATACGGGCTGGGAAACATTTTATTTTCATTTTAAAAATCTTTCTCTATTATTTGAATTTCCTATTCTAAACTCAAAATTACTTTTTATAAATTAAGTTACTAACAGGGACTATCTGGTTCTCAAGATTAAGGGCTATTTTTTTTATCCCTTAAGGGTGAAGATGATATCTCATACATTTTAATATCATCACTGCTTAGTGCAGTAAGGAACATAACTGGCATTTGATGAATGTTAAACTGAACTGAACTCTGCCTGTCATTTATTTGAGTCTTTTACTTCTTTCCCAAAGTACTTTTATCTCTCCCTCATCTCTCTCCGTTATATACAAAGAGCCAAGTACAGTGCCTTGAAGACAGTAGAGACAGAAGTTGGCCAAGAAACGTTTACTCAATCATATTATCTCCCACCAGTATGAAATGCAGCTTCCAGTGCAGTGAGAGTGATTTCTTTTTCTGTTGATTGTCATTTGCTCTCAATTATCTATTCAACACGCATTATACAAGCACTGTTCTCCATGCATCATGTTTGAGGCAATGTGCTTAGTTCTGAAGGTACAAAAGTGAATAAGAATCAGTATCTACTACACTCTAAAGACTCATAAATCTATCATATTTTTCCATGGCAGGAAAGAGGTGAGAGTGACTGAAGATGTGGATGCACCTATCTTCCCTCTCCCTTCAGATTCTTCAAGGCCTCTCCACTGAACATGCCCTATATATATACATTTTAGTTAGAATACAAGGCCGATAAATACTTGCCAACAGTTTAATGCGACACTCTCTTAGAAAAGGTACATAAAGGGGCGCTTGGGTGGCTTAGTCGGTTAAGCGTCCGACTTTCGCTTAGGTCATGATCTCGCGGTTCGTGGGTTCGAGCCCCGCGTTGGGCTCTGTGCTGGCTGCCAGCTCAGAGCCTGGAGCCTGTTTCAGTCTGTGACTCCCTCTCTCTCTGACCTTCCCCTGCTCACACTCTCTATCTCTCCTAGAAATAAAAAAAAGAAAAAAATTAAAAAAAAAAAAAAAAAAAGAAAAGGTACCTAAAGGCTGATATGATACAAAGTGGACTGGCGAAAGAGTAAGCAATCATGCTCTTAATTTTTTTTCTATCCTGGCAAGCAGCTTCTACTAAGACCTTTAGGAATAGAATTAAAGAACTAGACATCAGACGAAAAATGAAATCAGATGGAAAGTACCATTGGTACTTCCTGGTTGCTGTAAAATAATGAGTCATTTAAATCTGAATCTCTTTACATATTCAACAAAACCCAGACAGAGAATAAACAAAATTATTCATAAGCCACAACTACACTACAAATTTGGATTCAATTGCGGATTAGTAAATAAACATCCTAAAGCAGGAGAACCAGCTGAGGGGATCAGTCTAGAAGGAGAACCGGGTGTGGAAAAATGGGTGGGACACAGAATAGATTACAAAGCTGAAAAAGAGGATCTCAACAGTGGCAGAAACTACTGAGATCAGGTCTGAGACCTGATGATACAGAGCAATGGCTGCAAAGGTCCAGCAGGACCAGAGATGGCAGTCCTAAGATGGCACTGCCTCAAGAGGAGAAGGGGTCCTTCAGAAGGGGAAGGCATTCTGAAGGCATGATGACCATAAAATGAAAGGAGGAAGAAGGCAGCTGAAATTAAAGATCTTACACTGCAGGACACATCAAGCATCCACACCTAGCCCCAAAATGAGCCAATTATTAAAGAAACCCTGTTTCACTGTATCTACAGAATAGGAAGCTCTTAAACTAAGAACCAAACCTCTGCTATGTAGAATCTTACACTACTGCTGATGAAGGAAAACATTACTCATTTAATATTTTAAAAGCTGTTAAGATTGTGATTGTATTAAAGGTAACATTCTTCATTTCTTTTAAGGAAGATGAACAAAAAGATTGTAAAATAATGTAAATATGTGGGCATATAGTTTGGTATAAATACTTTTTTTCTAGTTTTAGGTTCACTTTTCCCCCCCAGTTTTTATGTTGAAAATTTTTGTACTCAGAGAAAAGTTGGAAATAATGGCATAACAAATATATATATTCTCCATCTAAATCAAACTGTTGTTAACTTTTTGCCAATTTGCTTTCTCTCACTCTGTATATCTCTATGTATTCACAACCTTACCTGTGTGCACCTTACCTAAAAGATAGTTTTTAGAATACATAAAAGAATTCAAATTCTATTAACTTTTCTTTCACAAAAATCTGTCAGTCTTAAGGATGACCTCGGTTTCACCCGAATTTCAGTAGGATTATACAATCATAATTTTTACCTCTTGGACAAGACTAAATGAAAAAAATCAAAACTTCATATTCATTTGGGTTTTAAAACTGAGAAGAACATAAATCCCATCCATATGCACACATCTTCCTGACCTAAAAATTCTTAGCAAGTGGTGCTAGATGATGAGAAAAGCTTCATTAAACTCATAGAAGAGACAACTGCTAACGTTAATAGACTGAATACCTATCTACTCTGAACCAGTGTATTGAAACCATACCTTATGGAGAGATATAACGTATCAAGTGGATCAGACAGAGAGATTTCAAGAGCCGCTCTAGAAGGGCCCTGGGATGCTTCAAGTCCTACCAACAAGTACTCTGTACCTTGTTCCTCAAGTATCTTCTCAGTCCAGAGAGAAGTCTGAATATTATTTTGATGTAACTGCACAGTTATGAATATTTTTAAAATCAGAGTATGTTGACTCTTCAAAATACAGTAAAGAACTTTCCTCAAAAAATTATCAATATTCTTTATAAAACAGAGGCTCTGGAAATGAAAGCAAACTTTGCAACTATATATTCACCTCAGAATAACTTAGCTTTACTATTTAAGCAAATCTATATCTTATGAGTATTTTTAAATGGAAATTCTCTAAAATTTACCACATGAAGTTTTTAAATATTTTCAGTTTTTAACATTCATTAAGACCACTCTATGAACAAAGAGACTATAATATTACATAAGGTGCTGGACATCAAATTTCTTTTCCTATAACATTAAAATCACAAGGAAATTAAATATTCTCTCAAATGTTAATTCAAATGATATTGTCAACAGTAAAAAAAGAGGAGAGATACAGAGTAGCCATTATGTTCAAATAAAGAGAACTATGAGATATGGAAAACTTTGTACCTTTGTGCAGGTTTTCAAATTCTTCAGATAAGAGGTGGTAGCAACAACCCACACTGCAAACTCCCTTGATTTCAGACTTGGAAGTAAATATTCGCAGGGTATTTGGAGCAAGATCACCGCAAGTGTGAAGACCTACCATCAAACAATCCTTTAACAATGGGAAGAAAAAACACATTTTGGCAATTAAGAGGAGGGCTAAAATCACATTTCAGGCAAAGATTTTAGATGTACATTAGACTATATGGAGTTTTGAAAACTATCAAATTCTACCTAGAAAGTATTCTGTTTTTTTCTATTTTCATTATGAATAATTATTTCCTCTATAAGCAAAGTGACTATGATCTTTTATCGCAACAAACATACTTTTGAGTTGACTTTCTAGTGTTTTCAGTTACTTAGCTGTTTGAATTTTCTCTTGTCTCTTTTACAACTACTGTTTGCTTAACTATTAGCCAAATTAAAGGCTGGACAGTCAAATGTAGCATCCATTACTAGGACAACCTTGTGATTTGAGACACATTTATGCCTTCTAGTCAGTATTTTTATCCACTTCTTTACAATCCACCTATCAAAACTTAAAAAACATTGTCATTAAGAATAAGTAGTGGTAAGTTGGCAATTCTACTCCAACACCAAAAAAGTATAGTTTATTCATAGCACAAAATATGGCAATATTAAACTCAATAGAAAATTTTTGTTTAAATTAATTTTATAACATGAATTTTATGTAATAATTCTCCTATGAAATGTTTCTTCTAATTGCCCAAAACCTAATTTAAATGTACACACAATACAGAATGGGTACACACACACATTTTCACAAATCTTAATCATTAGACCAAGTTTGTTTTAACTCTTCAGTGCCTTAACTTCCTCATCTGTAAAACAGTAATAGTACCTACTTCAATGAGTAAAACTTAAATAAGTTAATACTGGTAAAATGACCTAGTACAATCTCTAGCATATAATAAAATTCAGTAAGTGTTTTCTATTTTTATCATCATCATGTTACTATAAATTTAAAACACAGATACATTAAGTTGTGAATTAAGTATATTTTTATAAATATCTTCAGAACAAATACAATTATTTTAAATTATTCTACTAAAAATGTTGTTTTGACCCACGTGTTCTAGATATAAAGCTAAAGTCTAAACTTTCTAAAGAAAAAAATTGTACCGATAAGTAGCTTTGATCTGATAAAACATTCAGTTTCTTCAACCACCACTGTCTTCAAAGCACAGTTTTTGGAGTGGTTTTAACTACTTTGCTTTTCTTGATGAACAAATATTTTGGGTAGGTTTTATTTAGATGTTATAATGTTATAAGTAGAAAAGGAATTTAGATAGGAAGGGTCTATTGTTAATTAGGGATAGAATAACAGGTTTAATTCTCTCTTTAAAATTTTTTTTAAGTTTATTCATTTTTGAGACAGAGAGACACACAGAGTGTGAGCAGCACAGAGAGAGAGAGGGAGACACAGAATCTGAAGCAGTCTCTGAGTTCTGAGCTGTCAGTGGGGCCAACTCAAGATCTAGGAGATCATGACCTGAGCTGAAGTCGGATGCTTATCCAACTCAGCCACCCAAGGTGCCCCTAAATCTCTCTTTAAACTTAGCTTATTTCTCCCTAAAGATAATACAAGAACATTTAACCTCATTCTTTACTATATTCATCATATGATGCTAGTTAATATTATTATCAAGTGGCAGACAAAAATATGAAATCACTATTTTATCTTAACAATAAAATATTTAGGTATTACATATGTTGTCATGGGGAGGGAAGAGGTGAGATATTGGTAAATTTGGGTTATTAAATTGCCATAATTCACTACAGGACTCAAAAAATATTCTTCTAGTACATCGTAAATTAGACAGATTCATATAATAGTTTGTACATAGCTTCAATCATACACTTTGAACAAGATTTTGAAAAATAAAAACATATGATCATGAGCACTAAAATTTATATACTTTGAAGTTAGGTTAAAGTGATTGGGGTTGTTTGACCCTAAGACAAAGTTAAGGTATAACTTAATTACTGATTTCATATGTAGGCAAAACAATTAATGAGAACTAACCAGTTTCCCTTATTCATTTCTTAAGGGAAGAATTTCTGAAAAATTTAATAAGAATAGACTGTTATAACTTCAAAGTCTACACTGTTTTTTAGGATAATGAGGCCAAATGATCTAGAATCTCCTTTACTTAACATGCAATATAGCCTTTGGTGAAGATATATTGTCTTTCAATTATGTCTGAATTACTTATAGTTTAGAAAAAGTTCAATTTATTTAAAAAATACTGAGAAGCTACTCTTGCTAAAGAAAATTGCCTATTTGGTTACCAAGGCTAACGTTAAACATAATATTGCCCTAGATATATCTTTACTGCAAATTTAAATTAAAATGTTAAGAGTTTTCTTAGACTGGAATTTTCAAAATCCCTACATTGTATAATAAAACTTATCTTGCTAGCTTTTGTGCTAGTTCTTCTGTTTGATTTAGAAGGCTTGAAATGAGGAGGGCACTCTATTCTGGAAAACTGTTGATTGTCAGATTTCTACTCTTGGCAGATTTTACAGCTATAGGAATCATGAAAAACTGTGTATAATTTTATTTTCTTGATCCTTTAGATTAATGTAATGAAATAAGATATGTAGGTTAAGTACGCTAATATTAAAATTTAACTCTATGTCTTGAGTATTTTTGTAAATTAAATTAAGATATTCAAAAGTGAAATCACCTCCAGATCTTTAATAATATCATGTAGTTCTGAATCAGCAGTGATAAAAGATGTTAAAGGTGAGTATATATTTGATTCATTTGACTTTGATATCATTTTTCTTCTCTCTTTATTTGCTTCAGACATTTTTCTTTCAGATGTTTGCAATGACGTAGGTTCTACGGCATTAATAGGTAAAAGGTCTATCAGAGAAAAGGTATTTTCAAAACACAAATTTTCTTCTTGATGTGAATACACATGTAGGTTTTCCACTTGTTTTCTAATGTTAGAAATTACAGAATCTGAAAAATCTGGCAAAAAATCCGAGGTAGATATTTTTCCTTGATTTGCAGGACTATTGTTACATATTCCCTCAATATCTACTTTGTATTTAATTTCATCTTGAATTTTTCTTTCTTTTGCCATTTTTAATGCCAGTCCATTGGCATCTAATTTTGACCGACTGTGATAGACTTTCCAATGTTTCTTCAATTTCCTGTTTCTCTCCTCAGCTCCATGAGTATTGTTATTTGAGGAATCAATTCCATACACTTTTAAGCCATACTTCAAGGACAAAAAAGAGCTTAGATAGCCTTTTCCAGAACCCAGGTCAATTACCTAAAGTAAGAAAAAAGAATGAATTAAAGGATTTTAGTCAGATGAGAATAGAAAACATTCTCAATATCTTTTTTAAAAGGAAATAAAGAAATGGTTATATAATTTATACAACCTGTTATGTTTATTTTTTATTTTAATTCTTTGATTCCTATTAAAAACCAAACACTTTCATCAATTTTATTTAAATTTTAAAAGAAGTTCTAGACTGTATAATAAGTCAAGGAAAAGATGTAAAAGACATAAGTATGGGAAATAAAACTGTCACTCTTCATAGAGGACATGACTGTGTCTACATAAAGTTTAAAGGAATATACAAAAAGCTAACAAAGCTAGCAAGTGAATTTAGCAATGCATCTGGATACAAAATCATTAGAAATTAATAATGAACCAACAAAATATATATAATTGCAAAGAAAAATTAGATAATAAAATTTAAGACAACTTGATTTAAAATAGCATAAAAATAAAATACCTAGGAATAAATTTAACAAAGGTTCTGAAATACCTATTCACTGAAAACTATAAAAGCAAAGAAAAAATTTAAAAGACCTAAAGATATATCATTCATGAAATGAATGTTCATGAAATGGCAGATTCAAAATGAAGAAGTCAATTCCCCCAAAATTACTTACATATTCAACACAATACTAATCAAAATCCCAGCAGGTTTCTTAAAAAAAATTGACAAGTTGATATCATAGTTTATACAAAAAGGCAGAGTGCCTAGAATAATCAAAACAATTTTGAAAAAAAAAATAAGGTTGGAAGGTTAACCTGATTCAGAAATTAACATAAAACTATAGCAATCAAAACAGTGTAGCACTGGTATAAAAATAAATATAAAACCAACAGAAAAGAACAGTATACAGAAATAGACTCAAACTTATATAATCAACTGATTTTTGGAAAAATGGCTAAGGTAATTCAATACGGAAGATAATCTTTTCAACAAATGTTGCTGGTATAATGGATATATATCTGGGGGAAAAAATGTCTGTCACACAGCAAACACAAATTTAATTAAAAGTAGATCACAAATCAGGAATGCCCGGGTGGCTCAGTCGGTTAAGAGTCTGACTTCAGCTCAACTGGTTGGTGGGTTCGAGCCCCATGTCAGGCTCTGTGCTGACAGCTTGGAGCTAGAGTCTGAAGCCTGCTTCAGATTCTGTGTCTCCCTCTCTCTCTGCCCCTCCCCAGCTTATGCTCTGTCTCTCTCAAAAATAAATAAACATTTTTAAAAAGTGGATCATAAATCTAAATGTGATAGTAAAAACTAATAAATTCTGGAAGAAAACATGAGAAAATCTTTGTGACACTTGACAAAGATTTCTTATGTTGGACATAAAAAGTATGAACTACAAAAGAACTAGTTGAAAAAATGGACTTCATTAAAATTAAAACTTTTGCTATTAAAAATATAGTTTAAAAACATTTGCAAAACATATATCTGACAAATGGTTTATATCAGAATATACAAAGCACTCTTACAACTCAATAGGAAGACAAGCAAATAACTTACAAATTGGCAAAATATTTGAATGCATACTTCACAGAAAAAGACATACAAATGGCAGATATGAAAAGATGCCCGATATCACTACTTATCTGGGAAATGCAAACTAAAATCATAATGAGATGCACACAAATGTCTAGTGGTATAGGCACTCTAGAAAACACTGGCAGCTTATAAAGTTCAAATTGATACTTAGCTTACGACCTACAAATCCCATTTCAGGCTATTTGCCCACCATAAATGAAAATATGTCCACACAAAATCTTGTATGTGAATATTCATAGCAGCTAAAAAAATGGTAACATCTCATATATCCATCAACTTGTGAACAGCAAAACAAATTGTTATATATTCATACTATGGCATAAAGGAAAAACCAAGAGTACATATAACAACATTGATGACCTTCAAAACTATGAACTAAAGGAAACAAGTCAAAAACAAAAGTTCTCATTCCATTTGATTTCATTTACACAATGGAAAATTCAAAACTACAAGCAGGACAGGGATTCCTGGCCGGCTCATTCAGGAGAGCATATGACTCTTAATCTTGGTGTCATGAGTTTGAGCCCCATGTTAGGGGCAGAGTTTACAATAAAAAAAAAAGGAAAAACAAAACAAAATACCAACTATAAGCAGGTCAATGGTTACTTGAGAATGGAGAAAGAAATATTTTGTGAAAGGGAAATGAAGAAACTTTTTATGGTGACAAATATTTTTGATTATGGTTTGGTCACACAACTGCAGACACTTAACCAAATTCATCAAAATGTATGCCTAGAATTGGTGAATATGTAAATTATACCTCAATAAAACTAATAATAAGAGAAATAAAGTATTACCAAGATTATTATTGTATTGTCATAGGAATATTCTCATAAGAAATGAGTATCTATTCTTACTATCTCTATCCTAAAATCAGTTAAAAGCTGATATAAATATAAGCCACTCAAGTAAACATTCTTATACTTGAAGTAATGCCATTAATTAAGTCCTCAAAAAATTTAGGATCTTTTAATTCAAGTAGTTCACAGGTAAGACACCAATAAATAATTCCAATAAATAAATAAGCTTCAAGAATGCCTTATACCCCTTTTTATTCCTTCTCTGGGCTAGATACTATGAGATATAGAAGCATTATACATCTTGATTTTAAGGAATTACAACCTAACTGAAGATACCATACATATCATAAATACAAGGGCTTTGCAAGTACAAATTCTATTAGTTCCCCCATGTCTGAGTCTCCAGAGAAAGCAAAGCTCTCCATTCCTTTCCTTCCATGAAACACACTTACTGATGCTGATGACAAGCTTAAAGTTACCAACGACTAAGTTGTTGCTGTATCAGCACATTTGTTCCTACTAATGTAGATGTTTTCTTACCAAGAGGTAATTGAGTTTGCTCCTTTATCTGTTTATGGCCAATTCCACTTGTGAATCAAGATATTTGTAATTCCTCCAGTTGTAAGATGGCTCTATAAGCTCTAAGGATCATGTCTTCACAGTAGAATATCTAAAAGCCTTTTCCTAGAAAATCTGTCAGCTGACTTACACTTCTATTTTATTAATCCAAGTTGACTTTTATCCCCCTCCAAACTGGTCTTTTAGTAGCATATGTAGTGTCAGTGATACAATGAAAACTGCTGAGGAATTAAGTAACATATGCCATACAACTTTTTGTCTTCAAACTATCTGATGTGAATAGCAAAATCTCCACCATCCTGATATATCCCTTACTCACAGTGGTCTTTTCCATGCTGCGTCAACTTACGGGTTTGAAAATAAAGGATTCCCCAGTCCAATGCTTGGTGGGAGGTATCTTCCTAGTCTCCTAATTCTGTTTAGTATGGTACTATACTTCACATAGAAGAGTTATACTTTGTTGTCCAACCTAGAGATCTAACTACCATTCTAGGCCAATGACCTTCAAATTTATAATTCCAGTATGAAATTCTTCCATGAACTTCATACTCATATATCCAACAGTCTACTAAACATTTCTACTTGAATATTTAATAAGAATTTCAAATTTAATGTGTTCAAAATGAGGTTCTTGATATTGTCTTGTGAAACTTGCTTTTCCCATAATATTCTCCATCATAGTTAATGATATCTCCATATGTATTTCCAGGTGGAGATTAGGACTCCTCTCTTTCTCTCATACTCTCTACATGAAATGTGAGCAAATCCATTATCTCCACAACTGCATTCTAAGCCTGGCTTACTACAACAACCTCCTCATAGTCTCCCTGCTCCCACCTTTCCCTAAAGCCTATATGATCATACCACTCCTCTTAGCAAAATCTCCTATCCACTTTAATCTTTTCTCTTGTTTACTAACCTCCTTTGTTACTGGGAATTTTGCCTGAACTCAAAGCTCTTTTCATGCTCAGATAGGAGCCAATTTCTGAAAAGAACCAGCTTGAATGTCTACAAAGACTATAGTTAAAAAGTGCAAAGACAATGCTCCTCAACACAGCAACCAGAGTGATTCAGAGTGTCCAATGGTTGCCCATGTCATTCAGGATAAAAGCCCCAACTATCACAACGGCCTCTAAGACTATACAACTTTAGGACCTGCCTTCTACCACTCCAACCTCAGCTCCTACTGCTTTGCCTTTGCTTTCCCTGGTGGAGTTTATCTGGCTCCCTGGCTGTTTCAGGAACACACCAGGCATATTCTTACTGTAGGGTCATTGGGCATGTTATTCCTTCTACCTGAAAAGCTTTTTTTTTTTCAGATATTCTAACAGATAACGCTTTTATCTACCAAGGGATGTCTTAACTCAAATTAGTATACAATGTGTTCTTACTTGTTCCTCCCTTTTTAATCAAAAACTTTAACTCCCATCTCTGAATCAGCTTCCTTTATTTTTATTTATTTTTTCTCTGTAATATGTATCAACATATACAAAAAATATGCTTCTAATCATTTTATTATCTATCTTTCCTCATTACAATATAAATGCCATAAGGGCAAAGATATTTTTGTTTTGTTCACTATTAGATCCTCAGTATCTATAACAGTGCCTGACATATGGTAGAAGCTAATGAAATATCTGTGAAATGAATGCATGCGTACAGGTATAAATGAATGAACATATTCTGAAAATAAAAGTTTTGAGAAGCCTTGGTAATGTGAGTGAGAGACAAAGGTTTTTGTCTTGTAGGCAACAATATGGTTGAATCAAAAATGAATTCTGTTTGTCTTCTTCTTTGGTGTCTGTGGTCACTAGTAATGTTAAGAATTTCAGTATCTGTATAAAATCTCATGAAATCTGTATCTATTAAATCTGCATTTTAAAAGTAAAAGCTGTACGTATATAATAGAGATCTTAAACTTCATTATTGTGAGAATCAAATACTGCTATAAAGTCATTTCAAGAAAAAAACTTTGTAAGTCTGTATTTTAGGTTACTTCATTCACTAAGAACAACCTCACTGTTATAATAAAGTCCCCTTAAAGGAGTATTTAAAATTTTTTTCTCTCTACATTTTAGAAATAGAATACTGTGCTGGAGGTGGAGTTAAGATGGTGGAGCAGCGTGGAGACCCTGAACTTGTCTCATCCCTGAAACACAGCTAGATCAGCACCAAACTATTTTTGAATACCTAGGAAATTGATCTGAGGAATAACACAACAATCTGCATAATTTGAATGAGAGAACTCATAAGGTACACGATGCAGACAGGCAAAGTGGGGGAGAGAAAAGCTGAGGAGGGCAGGGAACCATTTTCCTGGAGAGAGAGTACAGAGAAAGAGAAAGGGGAAGAGTACAGTGCATCTGGAAAGTACAGGAAAAACACTCCCCTGAAAGTAGCTGGAGAGAAACAGAAAGAGTGAAAACACTTGCAGGGGACTAAACAAGAAATATGTTCCCCCAAACTACTGACAGGAAGAAAGGAGAGGGTATCAATACCACCAGGATTCTATAAACAGTGGAGCACAGAGTCCAAAGGTTCAGAGATCAGTGCCTGATTGGTGCTGGTGAGGAAGTGGGGTGAGTCCCCAGAAGCAGGCAGCACAGGCTTAGGGGTACATGTGCCACACAGGAAGAAGCAGTTCCCCTACTTGGAGAGCATTTGGTAGAGGCTATATAGCCTCCCCACAGGCTAAGGTCCCAGCAGACCCTGGAGAGCAGTGTCTGCTGGCACTAGGACAAAGACACCAGAATGCAGTGAGATTTGGCGCCAGCTGTGTGTTGTGATTTGCCATAATCTCTAAATGACCGCACAAACATTTTCTGCACCAAGCCTACACCCAGCCATTGCTCAGCAAGACCCTTCCACAGATAGCTGGTGAAGATCCAAGTCACAGGGGTCTCTGAAGTGTGGGGTTTTGAAACACAAACTCATCTGAGATAAAACTCTGGAGCTGGTACTTGGAGAGAGGTACTGCCTAGCAGGTGGACAGCTTGGATGCGGACAGGGTAGAGGCAGGGAGTGGATGGAGGCCTCAGACAAATGAGGGATGCTTGATCCTGGGTAAGTGAGAGTGTGAAGTTCCTGTGCCAGAGACTAGGGAGCTGGGTAAAGATATATCCACCTCTCCCACACATGTGCACAGACACTGATCCACCCCAGTAAGCTAAGCAGTGCCACCTACTGGAGAATGGAGCTGTTACATCAAGCCCCATCCAACTACGCCTCCAAGCATGAACCCCAGAAGACCAGCACAAGTCACTCCATGTGGTTAGTGTACAGACTATAGAGGGCTTCATAGTTTCAGTTCTAAGGGAAACTGGATGTAACTTCATTCAGGTTTCATTCTCTTTGCTGGTTCATTTATTTGTTCATTTTCTTTGCTTCTCTTTTTGCTTAAATTTGCTTCAATCTTTTCTTTCTCTTTCTTGGATACAGCAAGAGAAATATTTATTTATTTTTTACTTTGTTTTTTATTATATTTGTTTCCTTTATTTTTATTCTATTTTATTATATTTATTTAATTATTAAATTTTTTCTTACCTTTTTTTCCCCCTTTCCTTTTTTTTCTATCAAGTTTCTTTCAACAAGCAGAATGGAACACACTTAGGATCTAGCTTCTTTTGTTTGATCTTTGTTTTGTTTCTAATTTTTTAATTTTTATATTTTATTTTATTATTTTTCTTCTTCCAAAATGACAAAATGAAGGAATTCACTCCAAAGGAAAGAACAGCCAGGGATTTAATCAACACATATAAATAAGATGTATGAACTAGAATTTAGAGCCACAATAATAAAAATACTAGCTGGGGATGAAAAAAAGCATAGAAGATACCAGAGAATCCCTTTCTGTGGAAGTAAAAGAAATAAAGTCTAGTCAGGCTGAAATTAAAAATGCTATAACTGAGATGCAATTGCAAATGGCTGCCACGATGGCAAGGATGGACAAAGGAGAGCAGCAAATCAGCAATACTAAAGATACAATTATGGAGATTAATGAAACAGGAAAAAAATGGAAACAAAGGCAAAGGAACACAATACAAGACTTAGAGAACTCACTGACTTATTAAGAAGGAATAACATCCAAATCATAGGAGTCCCAAAAGATGGAGAGAGAGAAAAGGGATAAGGTTTATGTGAGCAAATTATAGTGGGAAACCTTCCTAATCTGAGGAAGGACACAGACATCAAAATCCAAGAAGCACAGGGAACTCCCATCAGATGCCACAAAAATCGACCTTCACCAGGGCATATCATAGTCAAATTCACAAAATGCACAGACAAGGAAAGAATTATGAAAGCGGCAAGGGAAAAAGAGTCTTTAACCTATAAGGGAAGACAGACCAGGTTCACAGCAGACCTACCTTCAGAAGCTTGGCAGGCCAGAAAAGAGTAGTAGGATATAGTCAACATAGTGAATTGTAAAACTATGCAGCCAAGAATTCATTATTCAGCGAGGCTGTAATATAAAATTGAACAAGAGATAGTTTCCCAGACAAACAAAAGCTAAAGGGGTTAGTGAACACTAATCCAGCCCTGTAAAAAATTTTCAGGGAGACTTTTTGAGTGGAGAAAAGACAAAAACAACAAAAAGACCAAAAGCAACCAAGACTAGAAAGGACCAGAGAACATCACCAGAAACACCAACTCTATAGGCAACATAGTGGCACTAAATTCATATCTTTCAGTACTCCCTGTAAGTGTCAATGGACTGAATGGACTAAATCCTTCAATCAAAAGACACAGAGTAATCAGAACGGACAAACAAAACGAAACAAAACAAACAAGACCTATATGTATGCTGCTAACAAGAGACTCATTTTAGACCTAGAGACACCTGCTGATTGAAAGTAAAGGTATGGAGAACCATCTATCATGCTACTGGTCATCAAAAGAAAGCTAGAGGAGACATACTTATATCAGACAAACTAGATTTTTAAAAATTTTTTTTACATTTATTTATTTTTGAGAGACAGAGTGAGATAGAGCTCAAGTGGAGGAGCAGAGAGAGAAGGAGACAGAATCTGAAGCAGGCTCCAGGCTCTGAGCAAACGTTCAGCACAGAAGCCAATGGGGGCTCGAACCCATGAACTGTGAGATCATGACCTGGGCTACAATCGGATGCTTAACTGACCTAGGCACCCCTTGACAAACTAGATTTTAAAATAAAGACCATAAAAAGAGGTGAAGTAGGGTGTTGTATCATAATTAAGGGGTTTATTAACCAGGAAAATGTAACAATTATAAATATGTATGCCCTCAACATGAAAACACCGAAATATACAAATCAATTAATCAGAAACATAAAGAAACTCATTGATAATAATACCATAATAGTAGGGGACTTCAATCTCACTTTCAGCAATGGAAAGATTAGCAAAGCAGAAAATCAACAAGGAAACAATGGCTTTGAATGAAACACCGGACTGGATGGACTTAAAAGATATATTCAGAACATTTCATCCTAAAGCAGCAGAATACACATTTTTCTCGAGTGCACATGGAACATTCTCCAGCACAGATCATATACTGGGTCACTAATCAGCCCTCAACAAGTACAAAAAGATTGAGATGATAGTGTGCACATTTTCAGATCACAATGCTATGCTATGAAACTTTAAATCAACCACAAGAAAAAACTTGGAAAGATCATGAATAATTGGAGATTAAAGAAGACCCTACTAAAGAAAGAATGGGCTAACCAAGAAATTAAAGAGAAAATTAAAAAGTACATGGAAGCCAATGAAAAGAAATTCTGCATGCAGCAAAGGTCACCATAAAAGGGAAGTATATAGCAATTCAGACCTTCCTAAAGAAGGAAGAAAGGTCACAAATAAACAACCTAACCTTACACCTAAAAGAGCTGGAAGAGAACAGCAAATAAGCTCAAAACCAGCAAAGAAAGGAAATAATAAAGACTAGAGCAGAAATCAATAATATAGAAATCAAAAAACAAAAAAACAGGAGAATAGATCAATGAAACCAAGAATTGGTTCTTTGAAAGAATTAACAAAATTGGTAAATCCCTAGCCAGAATGATCAAAAAGAAAAAGGAATGAACCCAAATAAATTCACGAAAGAGATCACAACCAACACCACAGAAATACAAACAACGATAAGAGAATATTATAAGGAATTATATGTCAGTAAATTGGGCAGTTTTAACCAGTAAAGCAATTGAATCAATAATCAAAAATTTCCCAACAAACAAGAGTCCAGGGAGAGATGGCTTTCCAGGGAAATTCTACTAAATATTTTAGGAAGAGTTAACACCTATTCTTTTGAAGCTGTTGCAAAAAAATATAAATGGAAGGAACACATCTTTTTTTTTTAATTTTTTTAATGTTTTATTTATTTCTGAGAGAGAGAAAGAGAGAGAGAGAGAGAGAGAGAGAGAGAGAGAGACAGCATGAGCAGGGGAGGGTCAGAGAGAGAAGGCAGAGAATCAGAAGCAGGCTCCAGGCTCTGAACTAGCTGTCAGCACAGAGCCCGACGCGGGGCTCAAACCCACGAACCGTGAGATCATGACCTGAGCTGAAGTCGGACGCTTAACTGACTGAGGCACCCAGGCGCCCCAACAAAGATAATTCAAAAGAGTGAAATTTATGGCAAAACATGAATAGTCCTATTTTATTTTTAGTATAAATTTGTTATAATCACACTGTATTGGGAAACGAGAACACATATTTAACGTGTCTGACATATGTAACTTCAGCTATTCTTTAAGGACATTTAAAGGCTAGACCGTGATAGCAGACAAAAAGATGTGAGTGATACAAAAAAGGCAATAATTTTAACACCTGAAATACAGATAAATTCTCTCACCTGCTTTATTCCACAGTAATCAGAAATACTGCTGATCAGCTCTGACATCACCTGAACTTCATGAGACTTTTTCAAATTCATAAACTCATCTGGTTTCACATTTTCATCTGAACGAGAGTAAAACAAAATTAAAATACTGCTGTCAAAGGAACAAAATGTAATGAAAAATCATCAGTTAATGTTCATATTTTCTGTAATTACATATGAAAATAATATATTCTATTGTTCTGCATGATAAATATTAGCTTAACTGCTATGAATCAAAATTTAAATTAAGAATATAAATAAGAAGAAGACCCATATAACATTATTAAAAATGTTCCTTGACACAATAAACAACTATAAAGGAAAAGACCAATAACTGATCTACAATGTAGGAAACAATGTGGAGATCTGCAACTAAATTATTCTGTATAAGAGAATTCATAAGAAAGATTGGCATAAGCCAATCTATCAGTACTCATGACAGAAGATCTGACAATAAATTAAGAACGCATTGGAAAAATACACAAGTATGAAGAGTCTATTGCTTCTAGTACTAAAAAAACATACATACATACATACATACATACATACATACATACATACACATGCACAAACACACCTACCAGTTCTCTGTTTTTGATTTCCTTGAAGGGCTGCAAGCAACTGTTCAAAGGGAGTACATATTCCCAAGTTTTGTACAGAATAGTATCTCACAGCCAAAGCAAAGGCTTCCACACTCACCAGCTTCTGGGAAGTTTCACAAAATATTTGGGGAAAATTGGTAATACCTAAAAAGATAAAATGAGGATAAAAAAAATGTTGGCAGTAATTAGATAATAGCTAACTTGAGTGAGATTAAAAAAATGAAAAACACTGGATTTTTATAACAAATTACAATGTTTTCATTTTGGTGTAAATTTTGACAGTATCTCTAATGACTCCATTATATTTATTATTTTGATTATTAGCTATTTGTAGCACCTGGTTTTCTTTTAATAGTGTTCAAAATTATATATTTAAACTCCAAATTAAAATTTGCCTCCCTTTTTTAGTTCCAAAAGCCAAAAAAAATCAAACATAAAAGTTTAAAATATTGCTAAACCGGGGCGCCTGAGTGGCTCAGTCGTTTAAGCATCCGACTTTGGCTTGGTTCATGATCTTGTGGTTTTGAGTTCAAGCCCCCAGTCAGGCTCTGTGCTGAAAGCTCAGAGCCTGGAGCCTGCTTCAGATTCTGTGTCTCTTTCTCTCTCTGCCCCTCCCCCACTCATGCTCTATCTCTGTCTCTCAAAAATAAATAAACGTTTAAAAAAATTAAAAAATAACATAAAATATTGCTAAACTCTAATGTAGTCTTTACATTTATAAACAGTCTTGGCTGACCTACAACTGTGAATTTTAAGGCAATCGGCCCTCACACACTACACTGTTATTCCCTGTTATTCTACACTGCATGTAGAACGATGGCAATGTCCCCAGTGTTATAAATGTGACTGTAAAATAGCCCTGCACCATTTGAAGCATGTAGAAATTGTGTGTGTGTGTTCAATGCACTAAGTTTTAAAACTACTCATGTTATATTCATGTGAAAACAGTTCATTTTCTTCCCCTGGTCAGTTTTAAACCAGACATTTTATAAGTTTATTATAGGAACTACTGATGATTTCCAAATGCTCACTCATTAAGAAGAGTATGGTTAACTGTCATACTGTTTGCAAACATCTGGTACCTCTCTCTGTGGGAGGATCATACGTCCTTTTGAACTCTTGCGTGGCCACATCTCACCAAAGCAAACTATGCCATTTTCAGACAGAAGTTTTAAGAGAATCCAAAAATTTACTGTGCTTTCTATTCCTAGAATTGTAATTACTGAAGCATGTGTCAAGATGGAACTTGAGTCTTTGCTTGACTATAACACAGACATCACTGCCATGAAACTACCATGGACTATGACATACAGAAGAGTAAACTTCATTCTTTTTAGTGACTGAGTTCTTAGGTTTATTACTGTAGCACGAGCCCGCCCATTCTAATGGATTCAAATATGAACACTGACAGATTTGCTTTTTATTTGTTCAATTTCATTTTTCTAGGGCCATTTTCAATACATTTAATTTATTTCGGAAACTTACAAAAAGGGCATTCCAATTTGTTTCTAGTGGTTCAAATAAACTCTTTGGATAGATTGGTCTAATGATGTTCATTCATTTAAAATTACTTTTAATAATTAAAAAACCCCCACACATCCAGTGTTTAAATGAAGTATTTAAAATGTTCACCTTATGAATTGCTTCTCAACCTTTCAGCTAAGATCAAGTGTAGTAAAATGTTCACCTTACAAAAGAATGGTTCAATCCAGGAAACAACTTTGGTTCTCCCAGAGAAATCAAACTATACACTACAAAGTCTATTCTAGCATAGCTGATCCTCCATAGTTACTTATAAAATTTATTTAAACACAAAGAATAATGATGCTCCTGGCAAAATTTCAAAGAAGAAAATTGATGAAGGCTTGCAGAATTCTAAATAAAAACTACATGTTTAAGATAGTATCTTTTTAAAGCTAATTAATACCTATTAAGTTGGTGGTAACGTTTACCATGTACTAAGAACAGAATTGGCAGAGACCTGTAACTTCCATTTCTGAATCAATAAGATAGAAATTTAAGCTATAAAATTACTATAGTGAATTCATTTAAGATATATTTTGTGTATTATAAAGTTCTTTGGATATTTTACAAACTGGATTTACTAACACAGCCAAAAGTAATAAAATCCACATCAAAATATTTAGGCATGATACAGAGGGGAAAACTCAGTCAACTATTAAGTGAGACTCTCAGGTTTAAGGGCAGTCTCAACATCCCTAAGTTCCAGGGCAGCAATTTCTTAGAGTGTGATAGAATAAGAGTATTCAATCTCAAAGTGCAGAGGGACTATTATAGCAGTCAGTTATTGGACAATGCTGCCAACAGAAAGAAATGTGATGTTTCTGTTGGAAAAGTAAATGTTCAAATCAACTTAACTATCCTACTGAAAATACTTGAAAAAAATCCCAATCCAACCTGATCTAAATGCTGTTAATTTGCTTTTAATTATAGGCCTCGAAGTAATTTCAGAAACTTGCAAATCTAATTACAAAACTGTTATCTTTAACAATGCTTGCATTAGAAAAAAAAGGATAGTGTTCTTTAGGGCTATACCAGTTTACTCAGGTAGCCTAGAATCTATGAAAAAAATCATTCTGAATTACAGAAATATTTCTAAAGATTCAAAGAAAGAGAGAGAGACATGTCATGTTCTTGTCTTTACTTCCCTCTCTGAGACTGTATGTAACAAATTACGTGGCAATGGTAATGGTGTATGTGGTTCTCACAGTGTTTCTCTAAGTACTTGTAGAACGAGTTTGGGTTTGGCAACTGGGAAAACAAAAACTACACTGCTACTCAACTAATATTTACTTAATTATTAATTAGTTCAATTTTTTTTTACACAGAGAAAACTTTGTTGTTAAATTTGTTGCCCAGTGTGCCAGTATACATTTTGGCTTGATTATTTTGTAAATATCTCCCCCTACTGGAAGTACCTGTTCTGTTTGATTGCATGTTTTGTCTTAACTTGCTCTTATTTTTTTGTACACTATAGATAACTAGTCCACAGAAATTTCTTATAATATAGATTAATTGGGCATGAGAGAGCAAGGAGAGCAAAGAGGTAGAGGAAAAGCTATTTTCTGTAAGTATGAGATCAGGGTATCTCTAAGAATCTTTGAAAAAAAAAGAGATCAATACAAGGAAAGGTAGAAAAGTCATATATACACCTTGGATGATAAAAATCAAGGTAGAGAAATGAATAATAACACCTCAAAACTAAAAATAGAAACACTTAATCAATATATTTACATTGTACATAGTTTACATATTTACATTTAATAAATAAAAATAAAGTTTCAGAAATAAACATCTGTTATTTTACTTGAATGCTATTTAGCACTTTAAGGAAGACAGAATACTATTAGTATTCACAATAACTCATCAATATTATAGCTACCATTTGTTGCACATATGCTATGTGCCAGGCACCGGGCTCAAGAGTTTACATTAATGGAATAGTCTTATGAGGTGATTGCATAATGGTCTTATCCCCATTTACAGAGTTTGAAACTGAAGCCTAGAGAGGCTACATTTTAGCCAGGTTTGCACAGACACCAAATGGCAAGGCACGAGAATCTTGCTCATAATTCTCACATTTGATTAGCATGTCACAGCAGTAAATTCAGTGGGCAACAAATGAAAATAGGAAAAACAGGAGTTAAAAACAGCTCGGCACATCTGCTGATCAGAATCAGGTCTGTCCAGAATTCCCTCTGGCAGAGATCCATACCATACATGGTAATATCTGAAGATATTCATATTCAGATATGAATGGTTCATATTCATTTTGTTTATGTTCTTAATTCTTTCACTTTACTTCCCTCAATACCTCCCTCTACTGGAAGTGATTTTAAGGTTTCAAAAAATTTAAAAAGTAATTTTTACACACAGAACAACTGATAAGTCTCTGAAAAGGAAATAGGTTTTCTAAAGAGATTTTGTTGTAGTATCTATTTCTAGCAACAAAGCAAGTGGACTGCTTCCTGCCTTGCATATACGCCAACACTCAGCTATAAAGCAACACCTTGTAAAGCAACAACATCTTGCACACAGCAGGCACTCAGTAAGTAGGGGATGAATGAATGAATGAATGAATGTAAGCAACACTTTAATACACTTACTACTGCAGCATCACCAGCTATACTAGAACAAATTCTAAGATTCTGTGGTGGTAGTGATCACTGAGGCCAGTGGGAGGACTTTAATAGCACTGCTGAGCCTGTTAGAATAAAATCTCATCTGAGCCTTAATGTCTATAATCATAAGGTGAGACAAGAGCAATTTAGAACATTTAGAATGTGATACAAGACATAATAGAATTATGTGCTAAATTTTGAGGTTTAGCTGTGTTACAGGAGTTAGGACAAAGGTCACTATTGCTATCACAGGGCCTAGAACTGTCCCATGGCCCAGAATGTCAAGAAAAAATCAACACTGCCCTCTTAATAATAATCTTCAAAGGACATGGAAATGTTTTATATTCATTTGTACATGAATATACTACAGATGCCTCCAATTCAAATCTAAACTGAACATTCTTACGCTCTCCAAACCTTTTCTTTCTCCTATTTCCTGTCTTGTTTAATAATGTCCTTGCTCACTCAGTGCTGAAGTTTTTCCATCATCTTAAATGCTCCCTGTGCCCTTAATCCACATACCCAGCTACTCATCAATCTTAATGTAAAAATGTCTTTCATTGTGAAATGAACCATCCCAACCCATCCCCCGCTATCACCACCAGGGTTCAAATGCTATTTCTCCCATCAGTGCTACTACAATAGGTGGGAGATTCACAGGTGATTTTTTTTTCTTATTGAAAAATCTTTCATAAGCATCATAAGTGCTCAAAAGTGTTGGCTCAGTTGAAATGAACATGTTTTCTAAAACAGAAATTTACTTCTATTAAATGCAAATGTAATTACATATTGTAAAGCTGTAACTCCCACAACAGACTTAGGCTTTAATCTCTTACACTTGTTTTAGTAGACTTCAAGCAAAAGTAAAATCCATCTTGCTGAACTGTGAAAATTATAGATGGGATGTTTTAAATTTTATGAATGTTTGAATATTTCCATAATCCTATCATTTATGTAAGGAAGAAAATAAAATATACATTGTTGTTCTTAAAAAATTACTTT